ACTCTCACAAAACAACAGTTCCCAAGATGTGCTGTTGGCAGAAGCTGTGACAGCCAGTCGACTTTTGCATCTGACTTCAAATGCGTTTTAATTCAGAATGCAGTTGAAACCCTGGAGATAAATGCTGTGAGTCAACCCACTTGCAGGAATTTGGGCTTATCTATTTCCACTCAATGTGGAAATAAATCTAAAACCCAGCGGTTCCTAGTACTTAATGGTTTCACAAGATTCAAACCAGTCTTATCATTATGCAAAGACTTCCAGATGTTGCCGGGAGGGCCCAGAACATTTTGCATTTTCTGTACAGAAAATAATATTTCTGCAAAAATATTATGTGCTCTTTTTGAACAAAGTAAGTAAGTCCAAAGCTGCAAAAATTATTATCAGGCCATGATTCACCTCGTTGCAGTTTCCCAACACTCAAGAAATATTTTTAAATATTTTGAATATTCTTTCCAATCTACTAAAGACAGCCATATTATTTTGCTACATGAGGCTGAAAATCCAATAAGCACCTTTCCTTATCCCTGGCAGAAAAAATACAGTAACAACAAATAGCTCACAACTGACTACCTTTTTACAATGCTGAAAATGCTGCTGTTTGAGGCAACTGCCTCCCTCTACCTTACAACAGGGCTGGAGAACAGTGAACTGAAGGGTTCCTAGACACACAATTTGTCACACTCATGGCACTTGCCATTTCTCTTTGGTGTCCCTGTGTGCTCTTCCCACAGGCCAAAATCCTGGAAGAGATGTTAATCCTGAGCTTCCTGACTTCACATCCATTCAGATTTATGTATGTATACAAACGTATGCATGCACTATCCCACATACCGTATATACTCGACTATAAGTCAACCTCATGTACAAGTCGAGGGCCAAACTTATGGATTTTGATATGACCCATGGATAAGCTGAGGGTAAAACTTAGGGGCACACAACAAAGGATCTAAATGATGAAGCAAAGAAAAATGATGCCAAAGAACCCACAAAATTCTGGTAGGCATAACTGTTTGTGCTCACTCTAAAGACTGGATGGATGAGAGAGTTGGGGGGTCAGTGCTTCCAGGACACATTACGCTCTTGCCTATCACCAGAGGATGATTCCCTTTTCTTATGAATTAAAGTGCAGTCGCCCCTCCATTTTCGCAGGGGATCCATTCCAGACACCCCCCGTGAAAGTGGAAAATTGCCAATATTCAAGCCCCATTGGCTTGAATGGCGGCATGTGCCTGTGGGCACGCGCCCCATTTTGTCCCCCTCCATTTGCCGCCCATGAACGGGCAATGGACGCAGACTCTAAGTCCGTGAAAACGGAGGGACAACTGCACAGTACTTACATTGACCTGTGGATAAGTTGACCCAGGTTTTTTTTTGCAGAGGGAGGTGGTGTCAATTTTTTGACTAACATTTCTAGACGTATACATGAGTATATACAGTATATGTTGGAACACTAATTAAAGCATACATGGGAAATAGGTCATTCCAGCATCTGTCCTCTAATTATCAGGAAAACTTGAGTATCAGGAACTGGCAAGCTTAACACCAGGAATCACCCCCAGCAATACACACAGTTGCTTCAAGAAGAGCTACACATTGGAGCATCTTTCTGAATGCATGTATGACTCCGCTCCCGCAGGCTTGCCAGTGGCTCTTGTCAACAGCAACAGCTACTACATCTTCCTGTTAAGCGTAGGGGGGGGGGGGGGGGGGACGGACATTTTGGTGGCTACTTTCAGGCTGTACAACTGCCTTCCAAGAGAGGAGACACACTGGCTCTCCCCCATCATCCAGTCCGGCTGTAGCCCAGGTTCCCAGCACACTTCGGTGGCCATTTTTTCAAGTTGGAAAGCTCCCGGTTTCGAAATAAGGTTGCCAAAGTGCACTGGGGACCTGGGCTGCGGCCGGGCTGGACTCACCCAGTGGCTTCGGTGGCAAAATCCTTGTGATAGGACCCGGCTGCCTCCTGAATTAGACTTCAATTTGGAAAATGTAAACTGGGTTATTAGAGCGGTGGAATAATCTCCAGGAGTATAGGAGTTTAACTGAAGAAAACTGAAAAGGAAAGTTGGCTACTGCAGACTCGGTCAGCATGAGTAGAACCCATGAGCTCTACATGATATGTAGTTTGCAAAGGGCTCCCCAAACGTAGGTCCTGAGGTACAAAATCATTTCAGCACCCCTGTCTGTCCTGGCTTCCACTCCACCATAAGCATCTGAAGAAGTAGAATAAAGTCTACCAAAGCTCATGCTACAAACTTCTTTCTTTTTTTCAGTTAGTCTTAAAGGTGCTACAAAATCTCTATACATACTAATTCTACAGACTAACACGGCTATATCTTTAAATTCTTCCAAGGAAAGTGCAGACTTGATCTGTTCTAAGACCCATTGTTCTAGGAACCCTTGTAGAAACTGAAATATGGAGCAAAATGTGCAGTCTGTACTCTGTCCAACTGTTTTGCAAGAAGTAAGCGTGCCACTACTTGAATCAGGGAAGTCTCCCATCTATGACTTACATTTTCATACATTTATCATTATAGTCTTGACTCATCCTCTCCCATTTCCAGTCCCAGTTCCTTGGGTCGATATAATAATTCTGGACAAAATTCTAACTTTGCAGGATCTATCTGAGACATGTCTTGCTGAGCTCCTTGCAAAGACAGCATGGTAAGCAATGGAACCAAGAGAATGAAGGTCAGGGAAGCAGAGTAAAAGGTGCTTAGGAACACAAGACAACAATTAGCATCTAAGATGCCATGTATTCTTTTGGTTTTGCTGACTTGCTTTTGCATGGCTTGATATAGTAATATTATTTTTAAAAATTGCAAGACTTCTAGGGAAAAAACCAAGTTCCATTTACAAGGGGCAACATGGGACTGATAGATATTGTGCGGATTGCTGCGGATTTTTGCACATTTGCATTGACCTTTAATTATCTTCACTTTCCTGCGCAAATTTGCATCTATTTGCCATCCCTCTGCTGAAATGCACATCCATGGGAATCCATGCAGACAGATGGCCACACATTCAATAATGCACATTCTTGCAGGTATGCTGGTAAAAAACACGAATCCTTTTCCAACAGAGTTTACTGAGGTCTTCCGCCCCTCTGTCCCCCAAAAGCCTGAATTCCTCCAAATTGCATGTGGCCAGATTGCACTCCATTTGAATAGAATAAGCAATATTTAAACAGTGTAGACAAGCCTTAGGATATTCCAACTTCCTGATGGAGGAGGGGAAAAAAACACATTACTATAGTGGGCCCTTGATATCCCCTGGGGTTTGGTTCCAGGACACCCACATCCCTGTGGATACCAAAATCCATGGATTTTTAAGTCCCATTGTATACCATGGCATAGTAAAATGGTGTCCTGTATACAAAATGGCAAAACCAAGCTTTGCTTTTTGGAATTTCATATATTTTTTTAAAAAAACATTTTCAAGCCGTGGATGCTTGAATCCGTAGATAAAGAATCCGTGGACCAGGAGGACCAACTGTATTGCCTTTTCTCTTCACCTGCTTACTTGTTCCATCTCTACTGCTCCCTCCACTTTGCTTTATTCCCCTCTCTTCTTCTTCTCCTCTGCTTACAACAGCAGAGCCATCACTGCTTCACCTGCCTACCTACATACCTGCCCCCAGCCCTATTTAAAGCAACTTCAACAGTGCAATAGGGGAGAAAGGATGGGAGGGCGAGAGGTGCAGGATCAGGTGCAAAGGAGGGAAACATGCTGCAGGTGCAAGGTGAGGTGGTTTTTGGAAAGGAGGGAGGGTAAAGGATGCCCCAAGGGAAAGGTGCATCGGAAGCATCAGGTGAAGTAAGGATGGGCGAGGCCCAAGCAGTGTCTTTAGTTATTTAAGAGATTTATTTCAAGGTTCAAGGGGATGACATGGCAAAGAAGGTAAGGCAAGGAATAAGAAAGCAGAGAAGGGAAGGTGAGGGATGCAGCAGCAGAATGCAGAAAACAAGGGAGAGAAGACTGGCAAGCTGAGACAAAGGAGAGGAAAGAAAGGGCAAGAGGAACAGTGGCAGAGGGCAAAGAGCAAAGAGCGGTAGGCAGTAAGTGAGGCCAAGAATGCAGACAGTAGGAGGAAGAGTATAAGGGAAAAGAGACAGAGGCATGGCAATGGCAATGGCAATGGCAATGGCAATGGCAATGGCAATGGCAATGGCAATGGCAATGGCGTGAGATAAGGCAAGTGAAGAAGAAGAAAGGGAGTGGGGCAAAACAGGTTCATAGGAAGAGAAGCAGGCAGCAGAGGACATGGTGGAGGACAGGAGCAAGGTCCTTCATCATGTCTGGTGCTTCGCTGCCCAAGGCAGCCATTTCATGGGTGCTACTATGAGGAAAGGAAGAGCTGAGAAAAGGCAGGTGGAGAAAATGCAGGTGCGCATGGAGGTAGACACATCCGCCGGCACAAAGTGGAGCTAAACCACCCCCTGGCAGCAGTGAAGCAAGCAAAACAGCGGTTAGAGTAACATTGGCAGAAAACTCAAAGCAAGTCTACCAGGCTGGAGCTAAAGCCTATCTGAACGGCAATGGTGTAGCAATGCAGGTAGCAAAAACACACACACACACACACAGACAAAAGCACACCTTTCTTCTCTGCTGCCATTGCATCTGCAAAAAGCCATCTGGCACAACTGTCTTGAGTAGTCCAAGTCTGTTACAACCTGATCTACAGAAGAACTTAAACCACTCAGGAGTCTGCTGTGAAGGATTTCTCCAGGATTTTGCAGAGGGAAAAATAACTCAGATTAATTCCAAGTTGGACACTACAGTTGATACAAGTCCAGTGAATGCAACTCTGGCCTCTGCTTGTCCAGTGATAATGAACACTTTTCTATTTGTGCAGCCTTGAGGATATGGGCAGGATCCTTGGAGAAATGAGAGCCACTATCCCTGTATTTGACCCTTGTCCTTTCTGTCTTCTTAAACAGGGCCAGAGGGAGATTGGCTGAATGGGTAATGGAAGTGATCAATACTTCTGTATAGAGAGCAAGTTGGCATAGAGGTTTGAGTGTTTCACTACGACTCTGGAGCCCAGGGTTCAATTCCCAGATTGGTTATGAAACCCCCTGGGTGACCTTGGGCAAGTCGCATGCTCTCAGCTTCAGGGAAAGGCAATGGCAAACCTCCTCTAAGTAAATCTTGCCAAGAAAACCCCATGATAGGTTTGCCTTAGGGTCGCCATAAGTTGGAAACAACTTGAAGACACACAACACACATACACAAACACACACACTAAATAAGGCAGGGTCCCAGCATGCCTGGAAGAGGTCATTGTAGGACTTCTATTGTATCCACCCTTCCCTGGATCCTACTGCATTAGATAACTATTGACCTTTCTCCAGTATTCCATTTCTGAGCAAGGAACTGGAGTATATGGTGGCCTCTCAGCTTCAGGAGTTCCTGGATGAGATGGATTATCTAAATCCATTCCAGTCTGACTTCAAGCCTGGTTATGGGGTGCAGCAAGCTTTGGAGATGGAAAGGTGAAGTATGTCTCTGTTGCTTCTGCAGGACCTCTCAGTGGCTTTCACTAGTATTAATCATAGTATCCTTCTTGACCACTTTGCTGGGATGGGAGTTAGAGGCACTGTTTTGCAGTGGTTCCTGTCCTTTCCGGAAGGATGCTCTCCGAAAGATGCTCAGAAGGGATGCTCTCAGAAATGGGGAATCCCATTTCATCTTCTTGGCCATTGGCCTCCATGCTATCCAATATATGCACAAAACCACTGGAAGAGGTTGTCTGGAGTAATGGGGTCAAGGTGTCACCAGTATGCTGATGACACCCACCTCTATTACACCTTTCTACCAAATTCCAAGAAAGCTGTTCCCATGCTAAACTGGTGCCTGGCATCTGTAATGGACTGGATGAGGGCAAATAAATTAAGGCTCGATCAAATGACGGCTCAATGCAGAAAAAGAGATTCCACTCAACATTAGGAGGAACTTCCTGACAGTAAGAGCTGTTCAACAGTGGAACACGCAACCAATCCCTCAGACAGTGGTGGGGTTTCCTTCTTTGGAGGTCTTTAAACAGAGGCTGGATGGCCATCTGTCAGGGATGCTTTGATCTTGAGTTCCTGCATGGTAGAATGGGGTTGGACTGAATGGTCCTTTGGGGGTTTCTTCCAACTCTATGATTCTATGATTCTAAGACAAGACGGAGGCATTCCTAGTCAGGTGAAAGGCAGATCTGAGAGTAGGGATTCACCCTGTCCTTGATGGGATTACACTCCTGATAAAGATAACATTTCACAGTCCTGGATTTAGCCCTGAGCTTGGAGGCTCATGTTTTCATAGTGATCAGAAGTGCATTTGCACAATTAAAGCTAGTGCATCAGCTGTGCCTGCTCCTGGAGATGCCTGATCTGACCATAGTGACACATGTCATGGTTGCATTCAGAATTGCTTAGAGAGGTTGGAGGCACCCAGCACCAGGGACCTGCCTAAAGAAGAACTAAAGGCAACTTGGGGCCCAGTGGATCCTGGACAACATCCCTGTCTGTTCACTTCAAGCCCATGTTGAACATCTAGGTTTTGAAGGTGGATATTTAAAAGAAAACAACCCTCAAATCTCTCCTCTCCTACCCAAATTCAAGGTGAAACTCTAAGAAATGCAGTACTATTATATTTGACAAAGAGTGGCATTAATTTTTTAAAAATGTCCAAAACTAAATTCGATACCACTGTCATATTTTAAAATAAACAAAACCTGATGCAAAACAATATGCAAAACCATTTGGATCACTTTTACCAGTTGCAGAATTCTGCTTTTTAGGTGTAGAATTTGGTTTATTGTGGAGCAGAATTCTTCTTTAAAAAGTACATAATACATGCACAGCAGTACAAGGACATAAATATGGGCATGATGAGTGCCTTTGGAAATGGAGCAAAACATCACATGTGGGGTTCAAACAGCATAGCAGCCCTAAACTTATGGTCACCCTTGGATTATTCCTTTTTCCTGCTGTAAAACATCTACAAAGATCAGCAGTCTGACCTGCTGAAGCACCAGAAGGAAAAACATGCTGCAAGCCAGTACCATGCCAATCTTCCAAGCAATAGAGCAGGAAGGGCAATAATAGCTCAGTATGCATATAGAAAGTGCCAGCATTTCCAGTAAAGAAATGGATGATGAGAAAGAGGAGAAAACACTGGGCTAGAGTAGACCTCACCAAATGGGTGACCTTCAGATGTGTTGGGCTACAGTCCCCATCATCCAGCGCCAGAATGCTTGCTGGCAGGGGATGATGGAGATCACCTACTTGGGGGACACAGAGCAATGAAGAGGATTAACAGTGTCTCACAATAAAAGGTAGATCTTTGAAACATTATGAATCCCACCCCAACCTTTTCCCTGGCTCAACATCAAGGTAATCAAAGCTACAACCTGTGTCAGGACATGAGCATTTGAAAAACACCAGACAGAAAGAGAGAAACAAAAGAA